GGTCTGCCGCACCCAGCTATGGAGAAGTGGGTCCCTAGGGTGGAGCTCCCATGGCCTCGCTAGGGGAGCTGACTGAGGCTCAGAGAAGTGGGATGAGTACCCAAGGGTCACCCAGGGCAGACCAGGGAGTCGCAGTAGCTGTGCAGCGAGGCCACCCACTTCGCGCACGTCCTGCAAGTCCTGGGGTGGCTCCGGTCTGATAGGAAGAGGTGGGCGCTAGGGATGGAGTTCGTGGTCTCTTTTTTCCCTCCCTCTATCCCTTGGTTCCGGCTGCCTGGGGAGGATGCGACCGGAGGTGTTGATGGGGGTCGGGGGCACTGCACCTCCCGAGTGGTGCCTGGGGAGCAGCGGAATTTGGGCCGATGGCCCGGCTGCCCAGTGCGAACTGCAGCTCAGCCCCACCTGCTTGCAATCTTTCATAGACTCAATCGCCTGTTTCTCTTTTCATCTGTCCAAGTTGACTGCTCCCTGGTGGTCAGTGCGCCTCATGGCGATCAGTCGAATGGTCGAACAGTCGCTTAGGCTTTTAAATATATAGATTACATTTAAACCCCACTGCTCTTTCATGCTTTTGAGTGGATCTTTTACCCATGCATGATATTAGAAAATCATGTATCAATTGTTTGGAAAATATTGGTTCACTGAAATGTGCAGATCTGCTCAATGTTGATACATTTTATTACACAATATAAAAAAATCACATTCATTAATATTACCAATCTCATCAGCATCATTATTGGGAAGCCATCAAGTTAGTGATAAATACATATTTCCAAATTGCTAATTTTCACTTAAAAGCTTGAATTTTATCATTGGCAACATATATTGTCAGTTGTTTTTCTGAACTAACAAGTTCACATAGTCAGAGGGCTGCTGCACAGCGTGTCTTGGAAGGACATACAAGAAACTGAAGACTTGGTAGGTTGGGGAGGGTGGAGAGTGAGAAGGAGGTTTTTACTTTTACAGAGTCCATAATCTCCTAACAATAATTCTGAAATCAAAAGAGATCTGAAAACCATGGTATTTTGTTTTGTTTGTTTTCCCCCAAAATCAGGTTGGTCCCGAACCTTGTTTGATAGGAAAACCTGACCTAAAGTGTCATGAAGCTCCTTATATGTTCATTTATCCCACTTGTGACTATTCATTTATTTTGCAGAAATTTTAGGGTATTGGGTACAGGGTGCTGCCTGGGAGCGTTGCACAATATATATTACAGTACTTACCTGACCTTTCTAAAATACGAAAAGTTCTGAATTCCAAAACACAGCTAGCCTAAGATTATGGATGTGTGTATCCTTTTTTACTCTTGAATTTTGAAACTGGTGAATGCATTACCTATTCAGAAAATTTTTTTTTAAAAATTTTATATATTTTTATTGATTTTTTTACAGAGAGGAAGGGAGAGGGATAGAGAGTTAGAAACATCGATGAGAGAGAAACATTGATCAGCTGCCTCCTGCACACCCCCTTCTGGGGATGTGCCCGCAACCAAGGTACATGCCCTTGAGCGGAATCGAAGCTGCAACCCTTCAGTCCACAGGCCTATGCTCTATCCACTGAGCCAAACCGGCCAGGGTGAAAATTAAAATTTTCAATCTTCTAAAAACTAAATTTAGCACAAAGCAAGCTCACGGTAAATGGTGGCTGCTGTTAATCGTCCCTCCAGGCCTTTCGAACTGCCAACAAATCTGTTCATGGCCACACTATGTTTCACCGTAACAGCAGCCCCTGTGAGTGTCACTACTTAGATTTACATCTTAGAAGACGGGGATGCAGAGGTTTGGTGATAGACCCCTGCCAACCAGCTAGATAGTTCCCCACCCAGAGTTCAGAGCCCAGAGCCCATCTCTTAATCCCAGCCCTGAGGCCACTCCAGTTCCCCAGAGCACCTCAGCCATTGGCATAGCACCCACCGGAGTTGTGTATCCAGGAGAGGAGTGTTGTGTGTCTGAGAGGAGGGGGAGCATATAAGAAGGAAACTGTGGCTAGCTAGACTCACCTCAAATCCTTTAAAGGGGCCCCTTTTGGAGCTGGGACATACTGTCCTGTGGGCCAGCCAAGAAGTGCCTACGGGTTAATTATACAACACTCTTTCCTTCTGTTGATTACCAGATGAAGTAGCGGGGGCTGGATTTCAGGGACCATGTGCAAAAGTTACTTTCTTATGTTAAACCCTAGAGCAGGGGTGGGCAACCATTTTGTGAGTGCGTGCCAAAACCAGCAAAATCTCTGACTCAAAATTCTTCTGTGTGCCAACCCTAATTTTTTGAGAACATGTTATGCCTACTTGATATCTCTTAAGGTGTACGTATGTGAAGAACCTTGAAGAAATAATAAAATTCATTCGAGTGACAAAAACACAGTATATGATGATGAAAAATACATTTATTTTTTAATGTATACATGTACACTGATAGTCCGACAGAAAACTTTATGACTCCGTTTGATATTATCAGTGGGACTTTTGCTGCTGCATCACTGATGACAGAGATTTTACATCAGGTTTATATTTCGTGACCTTCAGAGATATGCACGAGCTACTACTTTCATCCGTCAGGCTACTCCTATTACGAGACTTAACAAAATTCATCACTGAGAACAAAGATTCACAAGCGTATGTGGATGAAACCAAAACACTGGTCTGATCTAGGAAGGCAGGGAGAGTTAAGGCAGAGGCATAGAAATTGCTCTTCCCCTCTCTCGTCAATCCATGTCTATGGTCTTTAAGATAACTTGTTATGTAAAATTATTTATTTATCTAAGATGCACCTACACTGAATTTATCTGAAAAATAAAAAAGTCGATATTAAGAAAAAAATTGTAAATGGAAGATTGTAAGAGAGGGTTTCACGTGCCAGCAAAAGTTACTGGCATGCCATGTTTGGCACACATGCCAGGGGTTGCCCACCCCTGCCCTAGAGCCTCAGTCAGCACCTCCAGGACAGAGACTACTTTAAAATGGATTCTGCGAATGTGCCATAATGAGCTCACTGAAGGGTGCATGTGTTGAGTGTGAGCCTAAAGCAGCGGTTCTCAACCTGTGGGTCGCGACCCCTTTGGCAGTGGAACGACCCTTTCACAGGGTCGCCTAAGACCATCCTGCATATCAGATATTTACATTACAATTCATAACAGTAGCAACATTACAGTTATGAAGTAGCAACGAAAATAATTTTATGGTTGGGTCACAACATGAGGAACTGTATTTAAAGGGCCAGAAGGTTGAGAACCACTGGCCTAAAGGCTATGTTGTGACAGTTTCAAGTACACAAACTATTGGGGTTGGCCTTGCGGCTGCCATTCTAGGCCCCATTGTTCTCCATTTCCTCTCCCCCTCTGTGGCCCAGGAGAGAGAAATGGGGATGGCTGCATGTTTCAGGAGCCATCAGACTGTTCTCCCAGGCATGTTTATAGCCACTAGAACAGGGGTGGGCAAACTTTTTGACTCGAGGGCCACAATGGGTTCTTAAACTGGACCGGAGGGCCGGAACAAAAGCATGAATGGAGTGTTTGTGTGAACTAATATAAATTCAAAGTAAACATCATTACATAAAAGGGTACGGTCTTTTTTTTTTTTTTAGTTTTATTCATTTCAAACGGGCCGGATCCAGCCCGCGGGCCGTAGTTTGCCCACGGCTGCACTAGAATCCCCTCTGCCTGCTGCTCTGAAGGGGGCAGTTTGTGGGGATAGGTGAAATGCTTGCTGCCCTGTGGCACCCGCTGGTCTAACCAGTGAGGCAGGATGGTGGAAGGCCACCAGAGACTTTGACTGTCAGCTCCATGAACCACAGCTTGGGAACAATAACTTCCCTTGGAAACCTAGTTCATCTAAATCAGTGGTTCTCAACCTTGGCTGCACATTAGAATCACCTGGGAATCTTTTTAAAATCCTGATTTCTGGGCCTCATCCTCCGGAAATTCTGTTTCTTTGTTATGGGGTGGGGCCACAACATTAGTAACAAAGAACAGAATTCCAAAGACCACTTTTTCAAATACTAAATCTTTTTTATTTTATTACATTCATATCCATATCCTTTATAGAAGAAATAGAAGAAACTCACCACTGTTTATATTTTCAGTACGCTTCTTTCCAGTTTTATTTATCCACACCCACCCACGCTTTTCACAGTTGATTTCTTAGGCTATTGATAATCCCTTTTTCTCCCACAGTTAACATTCGAACATAAGCATTTTTACACATCATTTTAAAACATTCTAAGAGCATTGTTTCCTTGGCCACATTTAGGGGTATGCCCTAATGTTCCTAACTGGTCCCCAATTAGGCTGACCCATTTCCCTTGATTACTTTGTATGGAGATATTTTAATTTGAATTAAGTGTTCTTTCTTTAAGATTGCTACCTAGACATAAAATTGTTGGATCAAAGAGTATAGTAAAGATACAAAAAGCTTTTGAGAGCAAGATCTATTTTGTGGGCATATATATTATATAATACAGAATCTCCATTTATTCTCCTAGCTCATGCATTGTCAATGAGGGTAATGGGAGAGGGGTGAAAAAAAATCTTAGCGGTTACAATGGTTTGTGGCCCTCCAGTGGCTACAGTGCATAAACAGGAAAAAAAAGGTTGAGAAGCACTGTGTTCGCTGTATGTGAGTACACATCTCACTCTACCCTTGGAAGCTTTTAAATCTGAGCTTTTGCTTTTGCGTTTTAGAATAATCTTCTGGTCTAAGTTCTTTATCCAAAGTTTAAGAGTTTGAGAAGGGTGTGAATAAAATAAAATTTATGTGGCAGTTACCACTGCTGATATTTTTCTTTCTATAGATTGGGATTCTCCATGTTTTGTAGCTTTGTATTCAGCCATTGTAACATTATCAGTGTTAGTCTTTGCCAAGGGCCACTTTGAAATATCCCTTGTGTTATGGTTCATGCAGGGGTTTCCCTTGTCCCCAAGCCTGGGAGTCAGGTTCAGGCTCCTAGGAGCCCAGATGCCTGGCTGCTCTGGGACTTACAGTAATTGTCCCTTGTTTGTTTCAGGTGTGATCCCCTGGGCCCATTTGCTGTCGGGGGAGAGGACCTAGACCCCTTTGGGTGAGTACTGCTGGGGACGTGGCAGCAATACAGCTTGCTCTCCTGGCTTTTCAGCCCAGCTCATCTTCTAATTCTAGAGCAGCGGTTCTCAACCTGTGGGTCGAGACCCCTTTGGGGGTTGAACGACCCTTTCACAGGGGTCGCCTAAGTCCATTGGAAAACACATATATAATTACATATTGTTTTTGTAATTAATCACTATGCTTTAATTATGTTTAATTTGTAACAGTGAAATTGGGGGTCACCACAACATGAGGAACTGTATTAAAGGGTCGCGGCATTAGGAAGGTTGAGAACCACTGTTCTAGAGCTTTTCATCAGTCTTCCTTTGGGGTAAAGAAGCCAGTCTGTTGCTGAGGAGCTGAGAAGTCATTGCCATTGTTCTGCTCTGCCATGCCTGGAGCCGTGCAGGAGAGCTCTGAGTGTGGGGGAGGGGCTAAGCCAGCACTGCGGGCAGCTCAGCTCCTCTGTCCTTTCTGGCCCATATTGTGCTGTGGAGGACAGCAGCCCCCTCCTAGGAGGGCAGGATACCAGGTGGGTTTATCAGGTGTGGGCTACAGACCTTAGGACATCTCAGGGCTACTCAGAGGTCACCTTGCTTGATAAGGGGAGTCTTTAATCCCCAATAAGCTCTGGGTGGTTCTTGTCACACACCCACTGAAGTCATTACAGCCTCAGCTATGCACTCTCTTCACTGAATGAGTCACACTAGATTTTAACCTGTGCTGCAAAGTGTCCCAGCCTGACCTTCTGATTTTTAGACAGTGATGAAGTCACAGAAGTGCACAGTTAAGCTTGAACAGTGACCTCAAAGTTTAGGGAACGTCAGCACATGTGTCCTAGTTTGAGCACATGAGGTTGGGTCCATGGAACTCCATGAGAGAGATGCTGTCAGGAGCCAGATGGAAGACCCACAGGCAGTCCATAGATGGCCCTGAGGTTCTTTAAATGAACAGCAGAAAAGCTAGCAGCATGGATTGTCTCAATGTTATCCTTAGGCCTTAGACCTAAAGTAGTGCCCTGCAGAGCCTTGTGATGGTTTTGCATTGACCTTGGCAAGTTCTGGCACCTGTTCTTGATCAAACTGCTCCCGTTGGGTACAGGTCACGGCAGGAGTCTCAATTTTGTACGCTCAGGGACCCTGGAGAGCCAAAGGTCCAGACTGTGCTATTTATGTTCTTTGCCCACTTCCTGCTGGTGCTCAGGCAGCCATCCCCGCGTGTCTGCTTGAGCCACCATGCAGGAGAAGCCCAGGCATTCTTAGTCTGTTCTCACCTCTTCTCCAATAGCTCCCTGCCATACCTGCAGACCCATTTTTCCTTCTTGCCTCAGGTATCGGAGAGGTGGCATGATTGTGGATCCTCTGAGATCTGGCTACCCAAGAGTACCTATTGACCCATCCTCGGGCCTCCCAAACCGGCTTCCTCCAGGCGCTGTGCCCCCAGGAGCGCGCTTTGACCCCTTTGGACCCATTGGGACCAGCCCAGCTGGGTAGGTATTCACTCAGGTATGCTGAGAAGTAGGACCTGATGACAGCTCATCTCAGGGCTGCAGGAACGAAGGCGTCACGCCAGGCACAGATGCCAGCAGCTCCATCCCCCACTGGCAAGAGAGTGGAGCCTCCTCCAGGCCCTGCCAGATGCCTTCCCCCCTTCCCCCCAAAGCTTCCAGGAGCACCCCGTTCCTCAGTGCCTCTCTCCCCTCAGTTCCCCTCAGAGAGGACCCAGGAGAGGAGGAGCGACTCCCTCGCTGTGTTGAGCTGTGTCAGGAACCCACTGGATCCTCATCAACACTCATGGATAGATTTTACTGTCCGCATTTAGTAGATAGAGAAAATCGAGGCCTTGAAGGATGAAGTAACTTAGCCAAGGCAGAAGAATCAGGATTCAGTCCCAGGCTGTCTGGCTCTGGAGTACACGTGTGCTCTTAAACTGCACGAACCACCCCATCGTTCTGGAGTACAGGCTCCCTCAGCTCAGGGCCCTGTCCGCCTGTGTGCCCCTGGCCCTCCATCCCTCCAACTCACCAGCCCCTCTTTCCATTCCAGACCTAACCCAGACCATCTCCCCCCGCCGGGCTACGATGACATGTACCTGTGAGCGCCTCAAGAATGTAACATCCCAGCCTTCCCTCCACTCTCCTGGAGCTACCACCTCTGGCCCCATCAGCAACCGTGTTCTTACGGGCTGGGGGCAAGGGACTCTGCCCATGTGTTGGCAGGCTGGCTGGGATTGCCTCCCTACTCCTTGTCAGAGCCACAGCACCTGCTGCAGCTCTCCACTTGGCTGCATATAGGTCCCAAAGAGAAGTCAGTCTCTCTCACCACCAGCTCCTCCCCACTTCCCAAGGGAGACTCCGGCAACATATACCCTCCACCCAGTGCAGCGCTTTAAGAACAAAATGCATTTTGGATGTTATTATTAAGAGCCAAATGTCAATACAGAAGTCATGTTGCCGTCTTCCATTTTTCTTTACTGCACAGTTCCTTCCAGTTATGAGCTTGAATCTTTGTGGGGCTAAATGACTTTTCCTTCCCAGGGCCCATTCTTACTTCTCAGGCACCTTCCCTTCATAAATTGCTGTTGGCTCCTGACATCACCAAGATGGGTCCCAGTATGGCTGCGTGGATGAAAATGAGTGACTGGAAACCTCATAGGTCACAAGGATGGTTTCACACAGGCAGGCACATTGCAGAGAGACTGCGTGCTTCTATGGAGGGCAGAACCCTCCAATTCTGCCTTACCTGACCCAGTCCTGAGTCTGTGCCTGGGCAGTGGCAGCCTACAAACAACAGACCTGAGCGCTAATCTCTTTTTACCACTAACTTACTGAGTGACCCTAAGTCCCTTCCCCTCCCATGGCTTTGTGCCACCTATGAAATCTGAGGTGCCCTTCCCATTCTGATGTCTGCTATGTATGCCGACCCCTGGGAACTGGGGCAGAAGGAAAAGAATGAAGGTTCAAGGCTTTATGTGGTACTTACAGTCTAACTCTGTGCCTCTCACCCTCCGTGGGGCCCAGCCGAGCACAGGAGCACAGGCTTCATGTAAGCACGGTGTGGAACTCCGGGAGGAGCAGGAGGCCAGCCTCAAAGCCATTGGCTGGGGTGGATGGAAGAACTAGTCAAGCACGAAACAACCCAGGAAGGCATTCACCCCGAGGGAGCCCCACCCCTGGAAGCCTGTGCCCTCTGTCCAGGCCCGCCTGACCTTTGGTGTTCTCCGGATCCTTTTCAGCCCGAGGCCTGACAGATGTGGTCAGTGATGAACCTTATGCTGGAGTGGAGAGAGCACCATAGAGCACCAGGCTCAGACGCAAGACATCAAAGCACTAGTCACTTTGGCTCCACAACTAGCATTTCAGCCATGTTTGGGTCCTTTCACTTCTCAGCTCCTTGGGTTCCTTCCCCTAAATTAGGACGTATTATTTCTCTGTGGGCAGAGGCTACCAGAGCCTTTCTGAGGTATCTGCTAATGTGCTATAGCCTGGGACTCCCTGTTTGCCCTGCCGGAGAGTGGGTTAGGGGTAAAAAAAATTGGCCCATAGGCCCAAGGTCAACCTAAGATGTGGAGGCTGGGCCAGGGTGGAGAAGCTAGCATGAGTGGGCTCTCTGGGCATTTCTGGCAGACCCCATCTCTAGCACTGACCTAGTAAAAGACCAGCTTGGTCCTTTAGAACACGTGTGCTCTGGAGAAGGGCCCAAGGTCAGGCAGAGCTGCAAATGTAGTCATCAATCCTAGTTTGCTTCCCCAAGGACCAGCAATGATGGAATGTTTTTATTTTTGCAATTGGCTCATACCTGCTACCAAAAGGACATGGGCAATTTACTCATAAAAGCATCCTTTACTCTAAAAGGAGGCTTAAAGGAACATCTGAGCAGAGACCATCTGACAAGCAGGGAAGGGGGATAGATCACTTTTAGGACCCTGACTCAAAGAAAAGACAAGATCAAAACAGTAAATTTGCCACTTAGATTTACTAGTAGCAAAGGTCAAAAGGATAGTCCAATACATAACTCTGTTTTCTGAAAACAGAAACTTTAGTGATTCATCTGAAGAATCAGCCATTTTTGTGTTTGGGTCTCCTTGCATCAAGGACATTGAGTAACACAGATGATGTCTTAGTTCCATGGGGGCTTTTAGGAACTTCTTGGTCAAGCTGTCTGTGCTTGTAGTCGGGCCACGTCCTTCCTTCCAGCCATAAGTTATTGCCAAGCAGCAAATGGGAATGGTTCGGGTTTGTTTTTTGGAACCCTAAAGGTTGGAGCCTTAATAAATATCAGCACTTAATAACCTAGTTCTCTTTTTTAAATAACTTTGTATGTAATTCACATACTTAACTAAGTTCACCCTTCTGAAAGTGTGCATTTAAGTGGTTTTTAGTGTATCCGCATTATGTACACCCATCACTATACCTAATTCCTGAACATTTTCACCACTCCAAAAAAACTACCCCATATCCACTAACAGCCACTCTCCATTCACTCCTTTCCAGCCCCAGGCAACCACTAGTCTATTTTCTGTCTCTAAAGATTTGACTATTCTGGATAGTTCTCATAAGTGGAATCATATAATATGTGGCCTTTTGCACCTGGCTTCGTTCAGTTAATGTTTTTAAGGTTCATCCATGTTGTAGCATGTATCAGTGCATCATTCCTTTCTATGGCTGAATAATATTCTGTTGTATTAATATACCACATTTTCTTTATCCATTATCAGTTGATAGACATTTGGATTATTTTTACTTTTTGGCAGTTATGAATACTGTTGCTGTGAACATTTGTGTACAAGTTTTTGTGTGGAGATATGTTCTTAATTCTCTTGGGTATAAACCTAGGAATGGAATTGCTGTATCATATGATAACTTGATACTTAACTTTTTGAGGAACTGCCAGACTGTTTTCCAACATGGCTGTGCCATTTTATATTCCCAACAGCAGGATATGAGGATTCCAGTTTCCCTACATCCTTGCCAATACTTGTTAGTCTTCTTGTGTATAGCCCTCGTAGTTGGTGTGAAGTGGTATCGTCCTCTATTTAAAAAAAAAAAAAATTTGCCCTGGTCAGATTTCTCAGTGGTTAGAGTGTCGGACTTCGGACCAAAGGTCATGGGTTCAATTCCCAGTCAAGGGCACGTGTACCTCAGTTGCAGACTCAATCCCTGCCCCCAGTCAGGGTACAAATGGGAAGCAACCAATCGATGTGTCTCTCTGACATTGATGTTTCTCTCTCCCCACCCCCCTTCTCCCTCCCCTCTACACTTTCTAAAAAAAAAAAAAAAAATCAATGGAAAAAAGATCCTTTGGTGAGGATAAAATTTTTAAAAAAAGAATTTTGACCTAGGCCAAATAAGGCAGAGACCAGAGCCAGGCCCCTTGGGGAGCAGACCATGGCCTTGGTAATGACCACTTTGGGATGGCCATGGCTGGTGAGCCACAGAAGAATTGGTTTGAATTTTGGGAAAGGTTCTGGGCTGGATGTGAATCGGACAGGTGCTGTCCACAGGTAAGTTCCCTGACCTTTCCAGGTCTAGTGACACTCATGGCCTCACTTTCACTTGGTTTGAACTTTGTTTATCTGGTGGCTTACAAGTGAAATAAAGGTCTTATTCCAAATCCTGTCTTTTGGTGAAGTGCCATAGACCACTGTACTACCATCCCTGGCAGTCCCCACATCCCCACCTTCTCTTCTTATCTCCTCCCAGTTTTGAGCTGGCTGTGTTTCTCTTTTTTTTTTTCTCTCTGCATTCTTTTTTTTTTATTCTTTTTAAAAAAATATAATAATTTCCCCCCGCCCTTGACAATCCCCTGCCCTCCCTTACCCCCCAGTGTCTTATGTCCATTAGTTATGCTTATATGCATGCATACAAGTCCTTCGGTTGATCTCTTACTCCCCTCCCTTCTGCCCCCCAACCCTCTCTGGCCTTCCCACTGCAGTTTGACAATCAGTTTTGTGTTTCTCATTGCATCATCTACTCAGTCATGAGCTTGTGTCAACCTCCATTATGAAGTCATGAGTCTCTTGAGACCCTGACTCCAATGTATTATGTTAAAAATGGAGACTTTATATTCCTGCTGGATACATAGTTAAAAAACGGTAGCAAGTTCCACACAACCTCACTCTTTGGAACTCAGCTTCTCTCACGGCTTCCTTTTCTACTGTCATGGTAACATTCTGTTACTGATCCATGCCTCTCTTCAGAGAAGGAGAATTACAATGTGTGGGACAATTAATGTCACCTTCTAATTTTGTCTACTTTGGTGCTGTGCCAATAAGACAGGCCCCCCCCCCACACACACACACACATTCAAATCCTCAGCTTTCTCTCATAAAACATGCTTGCTTGTGGGCCACTACCAACCATAGGAGAGATTCAGTGACAGGCAGCCAAGTCCTCAGCTTTTGTTTGTCCTTCGGATACTACAAGACACACCCAAGTCCCTCCAGCTGAGCTTGACCCTGGATCTGACCTGGAGGGTGGGTCAAAGGCAGGAATGGTGGGCAGTGATCGGTGGCAAGTCCCAGGTGACTAAGGACAGACTCTAAAATGCAAAGAGAAGCAATGATAATGAGGTTCCAATATTCCACTGGTGGCAGGGCTGGATAGGAGGTAGCAAGTGGAAGGCCCAGTCCCTGCTGAGGCTAACTGTGCAGTCTAATAGAGGAGCCTGGGTGGCCACATGAAAGGCCATGAAGCTCCATAGGAGCTGCATAAGGTAAGTGTGAGAGATGTGATGGGGGTTCAAAGGGAAGGGGGCAGGGGAGCTCCTGCTGTACTGTTAATCCTGTGGTTCAGCTGCAGTAAACAGAAATGACTTGAGCTTTTGTTTTAAAAACCAAAAAGGTTTGGGTATAGAGATTTAGCGAGGTTACATCATCATTGTCATGATCTGGGGATCAGGAAACTCCAGAGCCATGCAGCAACTGCATAGATCCGCAAGAGAAAGTGAACGCCCTTTATACTGCCATCTTGACTCCCACTCAGCTCAGTTCAAATTCAAGGCTTAATTGAATGCATCTGATAGAACCTATACCATCTCTCTAACCGTAGCTGCAAGAGAGCCCAGGAAAATGTCTTTGTTCCCTTTTCCCACCTTTCATTCAGGAAGGTGCACTGGGACAGAGGTCTGGTGTCCTGATCTGTGTCTGTCCGCACTGCCGGTCATGCTTCCCCAGCTCACCCGAACCAAAGAGTCTCCTGCGATGCTTGCTCCAAGTACACTGTACACCCTGGGCCCAAGCCAGACCGGGATCCAGATCTCAGGGAAGGGCCTTTAAATCCATGTTTATGAGTTCCTCGGGTGATTCACATTATCAGGCAAGTTTGAGAACTGAGAAGGGAGGAACAGACTTTCTACATTCTTGGTACTCAGAGCAGCAGCAGCACCTGGAAACTTGTTAGAAATGTAGACTCTCAGACTGCACCCAAGACTTATTAAATGCGAGTCTGCATTTTAACAAATTCCCAGGTGGCTCATGTGCATATTAAAGTTTAAGATGTTCTAGTGTACAAACTAGAGTGTTTTCCTTCACCTGGGTATCAGGTGCAGTCTTCTTGGTTCATGGCACAATATGATTAGTGCATGCAAGAGCCCCTCGTTTTAAGTTTTTCTACTTTACCCCCTGTATCCACTCCATTCGCTTGACCCGTGAATCAAATGTGTTTCATATGTTTTTAAATATGCATATATTCTTGTACTATAGAATACATTATATCTTCAAATAACCATAATGAGATACTATCCTCATTTTCTAGGCCAGAATAAGAGACTTTGGAAAGGTCCAATAATTTGCTCAAAACCTAGCAGGGGTCTCAGAATCAGGCAGGCATGAGTGCAACTCTCAGCCCTACCTTTGCTGGTGTGTGGCCTTATCTGCAAAGTGAGTATCGCCTCTACCTTCAGGATTGTTGTAGGGTCCGGCCAGATAATGTGTCTTATAAACAGATAGTTGGAGCTCAGTGGCTACCAGCTATTATTACTGAGGCCACGTGAGTAGGTAAGCCCGGGGGCTCATGGACAAGAGGAAGGAAACTAGCTGCCCTCCAGTGCTGGAAACAAGCATTATCTGGTACTCGGCATACTAGGCTTTTCCTAGTCATGTGTGGTATTTTAGCCACCCCTGCCATAACACTGTTGGCAGCATCGGTTGAGGTGCTGGACTTGCCCTCTAGGGGTGGTAGCATGATGGGAACCTGGGTCAGCCTGGTTCTAAAGCCAGTGCTCTTTCTGTAGAACCGGTGCACCCTATGCAGGTGAAGAGCATGGCTCCCTGGGCAAAACCTATTTCTGAAGCTGGAAAACGAAGTCAGGGCTTGTGTAAGACAGGAACATGACTCCAGAATGGTCTCAGACTCCTAACTCAGTCCTCTCCTGTTTGTAAGGTGTATCTCACATTCGGAGCACTTCCACATACAGCCATGGTGCCCAGGGCACCCAGGTTAGGGGCATCTGCAACCACCCAACAGAGGAGCATTAAACAGAAGAAACAGGCCCACAAAATCCCTCCATTATGGTGAGCTCCTGAGCGCCTTCACGAGACCCCAGAAAAGGGCTTGGGCTCTGTGCAGGGCTCTGTCACCAAATAACACTCACCTCTGCCTCCTGAGTTTAGTAGGATAGGAGCTACTCTCCCCATTGAACAGATGAAAAAGCGGGCCCAGAGCAGTTAAGTGACCTTGCAGACCACAGAATTTCTAGCTCCAAGGTTTTCCCACTAAAAACTGCCCCAGACAGGTTGGTCCCCAAGTGACTAAAATTTAAGTCCTCTTCCCTTCCACCTCCCTCTTTCCCCTCAGTCTGAGCATTATGAGGAAGGAGCCATACACGTTCAGCACCTTGGTCAGCGCCCACCTTCCTCGCAGCTGCCAGAGGCAGCCTTTAGGCCAGGTTAGGTCAGAGTCTACTACCTAATCCAGGATGGCCCACCCCTGGGACAGATAGGCATCCCTAAAAGAAGAGGACTGGGCCCTAACGGGTTTGGCTCAGTGGATAGAGCGTCAGCCTGCGGACTGAAAGGTCCCAGGTTCAATTCCAGTCAAGGGCATGTGCCTTGGTTGCCCCCAGCGGGGGGTGTGCAGGAGGCAGCTGATTGATGTTTCTCTCTCATCGAAGTTTCTAACTCTCTATCCCTCTCCCTTCCTCTCTGTAAAATGTCAATAAAATATATTTTTTAAAAAAAAGAAGGTGACCTGGCTGTAGGTGTCCTGCCTCCAGGAAAGAGCCCTGTCCTTCCCCTCTTCCAGATTAGAACCACAGGAGCACAGTTTCATCCTGTAGACTGCTTGGTGCCCA